CACATCTTTAAATCAGCTACAATATTCTGATATTGTCCTATTCTGAAATTGAATTTTTCTAATTCTTTAAGTTTAGCTTCAGATTCATTGCTAAGGGTTTTATGATATGAAACCCATATAGTACAAGGTAAATTAGCACTACTTTAAGCTAAAGATGCCAAAATTTTTCTTAATATTTTGTTTTTCTAGTACCCACAGCAAAACAAATAAGAGTAGTACTAGACTCTTCACTTAAAAAATCTGGAAAAGTATCTAAGGCATCCTCTATCTCTTTTACATTAATACTTTTTCCAAGTAATTCAGAAAATTGATGCAGAGTTGATAGAGCCTTAGGTAATCTTTCACATAATCTTCACTTCTTGAACTTTTCTTTTGACTCAACTTTGTCTGATACCTTATTTAAGCTAATGCCCTTGTGCTCTGGCTTGTATTGTTTTTGGTGATAATACTTAATTACAAAATATTTATTTTTTCGAATAAATCTATAGAGTTGATCTTTATCATGTTTAACATCACATATAGGATATTCTTTAACAGATTGTACTTAAAAGTTAATGAATCCCTTCTCAATTCTTCCAATCTGAAGCTACCCATATTCTGCAATAGCTAAATTAGCTTCTTTAACTAAAGCATCATCACCATTGATAGGTTTAAATTCCTCTTCTGCTGGCTTTTCTTCTGAAAAAGTTTGTAGCTAGATCATGAAATAATTTTCTTTAGGCTAAACCAGATAATCATCAAAATTTTTAAATCTCTTATTAATGGAAGAAATAGCAGGTCTTTTTATACATCTCTCTTTTGCTAATCCAAGAAGTTAAAGACTAAAATATGACTTAGGAAGACCAATATCAATAAATTTCAAATAAAGTTTCTCAACTAATTCTATAACTTTTTCTGTAAAACCCTTAAGTTCTCTATAATCCACAAATTGGGCCTGAAAATAAATGATATGCCAGCTACATTTCTCAGCATTTGATAAACTAGCTAAGGCAAAAGAATTTAAGAAAAGTATATAATCAAAAATAAGGCTTAATGCATCTGCACAAGTGACTAAAATTCAAGATATCAAATCTTCTCAGTTAATTTTTTCACTATCTAAAAAAGCATATTTAGGATTATTTGGATCAGGTTTTTGTTTTGCATCAATATCAATAATTAAATGTAGGAGCTAGTTTCCATTGATACATTCGTAGGTATCAGGTATTCTATAAACTTCAGAGAGATGATCGATCATTGTATAACCTTTTCCTACTATCTGAATTATATATTGAGAATGAATTTTCTCAGGTCAATATGCATCTAAAAGTGCAGTATTATTTTTATCAGTATGGCTATTAGATACAAGCCAGTATTTATAAAATATATGTTTTTTATAGCTGAGTTTATAATCAAGATCTGTTAAATCTATAAAAAGCCATTTTGCTTCATTATATTCAGCTGACTTTTGATTTAAACACTGTTGCTATAATGATTCACGAAGATGTTTTTTTGCTTCATTAAACAAACTCATTTTATTGATTTGTATATATATTGTTTGTATATGTGTATTGTTTGATCTGACAAAAAGTATATGTTATTGAAACTATATTAATTGGTAGATAAATTTTTAAAATAAAATTAATTATTCTAGAAATTTTAGCTAGACGCCAAAAATAATTATATATTTGATTGAAGTAATTATTATATATAATCATGATAATATTATATCATTGCTCATATATTCATAGAACTGGAGAAATCTGTAGTAGATGTAGTAAATCAGAAAGATGTTATATTTATCGTAATTCTCCAATATCTACTCCCTGTAGAGATTGTAGTGAGTCAAATAGGTCTAAATATAATGCATACAATAAACACATAGAAAAATATAAAAATAAAGAGAATTATAACAGAAAAAAGCAGGATGAGTTATGTGTACAAATTACCAGATTTAAGAATTATATATCTGACTTCCTTAATTCTATGCACAAAGTCTAATCATATACCTGGTATATGTATATATTGATTATTTTTTCAGAACCTCTTATTTTGGAAAAATAGCACTTATATATTTAAGTAATGTTATATTCTCTTTGATGCCTTCTATATTTTTGATAATTTTATTATATAAAGCTACAGATTCCAAGACTTTATTTCAGAAGAAATGATACTTTGTGTCTGATCGAACTTGTATCTTATTTGCGTCTATTTTCTGATAAGATTACTCAAACAGCAATCCATTCAATTTTGGGTATATATACTGACTCATGATAATTAATTTCAAATTGAAAAAAATAAGTAGATTAATGTATAATCACATTCTACTTATTAATATAGATTATTTACATATCTATTATGGCAACTGTCCGAAAAACTAGAAAACCCAAAACTAATAGCTTTACCTCCATTTTGGATCAGGTCCTCAATAAATATAACCTATTAGCTGAATTAAACCTGTTTTAATTATGTGCTCATGCTAATAAGCTTAGTACTATACTACTGAATTGGAAAGCTTATAAAGATGTAAAAGAGATTTTCTGTCAGCACTTATTCAAAGAAAATCAAATAGGAGCTCTAGTTCCAAATAACAAAAAGAAAAGGCTTACTATCAAGTAAAGAGCTCAATATTGTGCAAAAACTAAAGATATGTAGGATATTTGGTTACATGCTTTAGACTTAGCTATGCCAAAAAATAATACAAATGAAGCAATTGTGGCAACCAGTTCTCATGTTTTACAATTTCGTAGAGAGTTAGCAGAAGTTGGAGTTGGTTCTGAGCAAATTTATATATATACCAAATTACTAGAAGTTACTCAAGCTTCTAATAAAATTCAAAAGAGGCAACTCGAACAGTGATTACTCAATCTATCTAAAACTCCCAAACACTTTTCCTTAGAGGAAGGACTTAGAAGAATTCAAAATATTAATACTACTAAAATCCTGACTATGTAAGGTCTTGCAGATATAATTATGATGTTGAGTATGAGACCTACTGAAGTTGCCACTCTTTATATTATCTATTATGAACTTGATGAATCGAATCTTCCTGAATGGTACAAGCCTGGTTATTCTTGATATTGTATCAGGTATATTAAAAATAAAGGAGAAGCAAAAAATAATCCTGAACCTCAGCAATTTCTATCCATAGAAAAGAATTCAGAATGTGCAAAAGAATTACTTACCTGAATTCAAGATGCAATAGCAACTGGAAAGTTATGCAATCCTGTTTATAGTATTAATGGAAAACACAGTACAGGAGTATTTAATAAATTTTTAAAATTATATGATATTATAGCCAAAATATTAAGAAAAATTGAAGGTAAACATGCTTCTAGAGTTTATAGTAGTCAAAATCTAACTTCATAATATCTTGAATTCCTTAGCAGAGTTGCAATGAGGCATAAGATGAATTGTTATAATTCTAGACTGTATTATGCCGAGGATGATACTTCCAATTCTGACCTTGACTCAGATCCAGAACCTGAACCTGAAGCTCTAGCTCCCACACCCAAGGCAATTAATGAGAATACTTCTGAAATTGAGGATATCTATAACTTATATGGAAGTATTTAGATTAGTTCATAACTTATTTATTCATTCACTATAACTTAGCTTTACTGCTTTAGACCTGCTTTACAATAATTAGACTTATTAGATATTTTTTAAGTAAAGTTATATATGCAAACCAACTCACTAA